TTGATGAAGCGATAGTAATTGGAGCTGCCCTCTCACTATCTTCATCTGCTTTTGTTCTCCAGGTGTGCATTCTTTTTAGGAATTACATCAGCAATCATTCTTTGAAGTATTGGGTTTCTCCATGCTTTCACATTTGTAGCTTGTCTATTTTGGGTGAATGGCTTGACCCACGAAATGCACTCTAACATCTATGCATACAACGGCATTTTAGTTACACAAATTGTTCAAGCAACTTGTCATGCTTACAACTGTTACATTTTTTTGCCTTTTGCACTTGATAAGTGACTATGAATATCGTCTGCAGCTTCTTGCCGAGAAAGGTGAACTTCCAACAAGATTTGGTTCAGCTACACTGGGAATTCTTCTCCTGCAGGTGTTCGATTGAAGCTCTATACATTTTCCAGTCTCCAAAATTGTTATTATTCATGAATCCTCCGAGGAGTGCGAGGTGTATTAATTCCAGGATGTATTCTGCTGATACTCACAGGATATTGCGGTTTGTCCCCTGTTGGTCATACTCCCTGTGCTAGAGAGTCAGGTACATAAAAGGTTAGCACTTAGATATATCAAATTACAGAAGACTCATCTGCAAAACATGCACCTGATATACTTTCCCACTATGCTACAATGCAACCTAAGGACCTACACTAATTTCATTGAAGGATATGTGTAGTTCTAAGACCATTTTGTAGTTGATAATATTTTGCATGTTAAGTTACTAAGTTAGTATAAAAAAGGTTGATATTGTAAACATACAGATAGTCACTAACATATTACTGCATCCTACTTGTTCAGCTACTGTACACGTTCCTAAGTATGAGCATGCTGCACTGCCTTCACATTACATTGAGTCATACAATAACATTTACTGGCTTTGTTACAGAATATCGTGGAGCGAAGTTTGTGGCCACTTTTACTAGCTGAGAGCTTAAAGGCACTGGGTGGACTTGGCTTACTTTCCCTTGGCGGGAAATACCTCATGAGACGCGTCTTTGAGGTATGTTACCTTCTACATTCTGAAATACATACTCATATTTTGTTCAATAAACTTTTGGTTTAGTATACAATGAAAACTGAATTACCATTCTGGCAGTTTGTTGCAGAGTCAAGGAGTTCAGAGGCATTTGTTGCGCTCTGTCTTCTTACAGTCGCAGGGACATCACTTATCACCCAAAAGTTGGGATTTAGTGATACAGTATGTCCTATTTGAAAATTTCATTTAGATCCAGATTGTGCTCTTTCAGTTTTTTGGATTGCTGATTGTTTACCTCCTAACATCATCCTATGTAGCTGGGTGCATTTCTGGCTGGAGCCATTCTTGCAGAAACAAATTTCCGCACACAAATCGAAGCTGACATAAGGCCATTCAGAGGCTTGTTGCTTGGGCTGTTCTTTATGACTACAGGGACTTCCATTGACATGCAGGTACAATTGTTTCTATTTTCAAGTGAACAAATGGTTGAATGTCAATCGCACTCTTTATTCATGTGCAATAGTTCATGTCTTTCCATTGCTAAGATATATAGGCCTACATGCCTTCATTTCTGTTTCCATTCGCTGGACAGTTGCTAAGTAACATTTAAAGGGGCATTGCTGTGTTTTTTTTTCGTTAGTTAACAAAACATTGTTTATATGCTCGTTGATCCATCTTGACCTTTTGCATGATATGTAGGTTCTCATCCGGGAGTGGCCTAATGTTCTGTCGCTGTTGGGGGGTCTTATTGCAATCAAGACATTGATAATTACCGCAATTGGGCCTAGAGTCGGGCTAACTCTTAAAGAAAGTGTAAGGATAGGACTGCTACTTTCTCAAGGAGGCGAGTTTGGATTCGTGGTGTTTTCTTTGGCAAACAGGCTCGGTGTCCTACCACTTGAGTTAAATAAACTGCTTATAATTGTTGTTGTGCTGTCAATGGCATTAACTCCGTTACTCAATGAAGTTGGAAGAAGAGTAGCAGGGATCATTGATGAAAGATCTGAAGAAAAAGAAGTACGTAACTACAATCATTAATACATTCACATTGACCATTAGCATATTTTTCTTGTGAACTCTAAGATGTTCTTTTGCAGAAGCCTGCTGAGATGGTGAATTACGGTGCAACCGAACCTGTTGTAATCCTTGGTTTTGGAGAGATGGGACAGGTATCTTGCATGATTTTTTTTCTTGTTTCATTTGAGTTCAGACCATAAAATTTCAGGTTTGTGCAGGTCCTTGCTAATTTTTTATCTGCACCATTGTCATTTGGAATTGAGAAAGACACAGAAGGATGGCCATATGTCGCATTTGATCTTAATCCTGCTGTTGTAAAGGTTGGAAATAAGAAAGCATTTTGGTATAATGATTAATGCATCTTCCCTTCTCTAACAAAAGGTGGATTGATGTGTCTTCATGTGTTTAACTAAGCTTATTTGTTCTCTCCTACCAGTCAGCTAGAAATCAGGATTTCCTGTGCTTTACGGAGATGGTTCACGCCTTCAGTTCTGCAATCTGCTGGCATAACGTTTCCAAAAGCTATCATGGTTATGTATACTGGAAAGGAAAAAAAACAATTGAGTCTGTAAACAGATTGCGGCAAGCTTTCACTGCGGTAAAGTATCTCCAAAGTGAAACTGCATTATGCTTTGCGAAATTTCAGGATTTAGTTACCAAGTTGAGACATGCTCATATTCTCATATAGAAACCAAGAAATAGTGAAAGACGTGCAAATTAACGAACACTCTGTTGACAATACCTTCTGCTTTAACAGGTTCCGATATACGCTAGAGCTCGAGACCCTCTACGCATTTGTTAGATCTTAAGAAAGCAGGTGCAACAGACGTTGTCCTGGAAAATGCTGAGGTAATTTTGTCAATAAATTCTGTGTTCACCGAGCAGCACATAAGAATTCATGTGATCACTTTTGTCTTGTCAATCTTTCACTGCAGACTAGCTTGCAGCTAGGTTCAATGCTTTTGAAAGGACTGGGCGTCATGTCTGATGATGTATCCTTCTTGAGTAAGCTTGTGAGAGACTCAATGGAGCTACAAGCTCAGGAAGCCCTAAAAGACATTGGGGACCAAGAAGTTGATATCATGAAGCCTCTTCAGGTTCCTAAAATCTGAAAAAACAATCTCAAATTCATGGAATTGCCCTGTGCACCCTCTTTTCTTTGAGAAAAAAAAAATCATACCATTTTCATTTCTCATCTGAGCTAAATTCCTTCTTGAAGGTACGAGTGTCAGATCTAGTGGAGAGCAATGGTAATGGTTCAAGAATGGTAGCCCAGGAGCAATTGTTAAGTCTAAGTAGCCGCCCAGACATAAAGGCAATAAAACCGCCAGTGGCAAATAGGATACCTGATATGAAGGTGGAAAATGATAAGCCAGGATATGATTTTGACAGAGTAGATTCTGAAGATGGTGTGGCATACTGTCTATTGGAATCTGATGATGGAAGCGATGAAGCCTCCAGTACAAGCAAGGAAATGATTGATTAATCTGCTTGATGCAAGGTTAATGTAAATGATACGAAGATACTCTAGCTCTACTTGTAGGATCAAGTTCATTGGTGATTGGCTAATTGCTGGGCTGATCAGACGTGCCACATTTCTTGCAGCTCCTACAGGTTTCTTGAAGCACTTCTAAAGACTGCAATACTGCATTTAAGTTCTGATATATGCAGTCGTACAGAATAGCAACCATTATACACCTGTGGCATGTGGAGATATCGCGCAGCCGTGCAGCAAATCTACAAGACTGAAAATACCAAGCTTGATTTGCGCAGCTGTACAGCAAATCTAAAGTCATGCAGCAACCATAAACAGTTGAAGCTGGAGAAACTTTCAGCTGACAAATTTTCCAACACAGCTGAGTGCATGGATTTGGCAAGATCCGGTTGTAATTAGCAACATTTCAGAATTTAGAATAGCATTTTTCACAGCACAGATTTATATTGATTGAAGTGACAATGTAATAAACTTCCATTGATAGATTGTACATTATTGTACAATATATATTTCTGATTCCTAATGTGTACTAGATTGTATATACCTGAGCAGTTTATCATGTATCAACATCCAACTAAGTGCTGAATTAAATCGTGTGTTGTCATCATGTCGCATTTTCAGTAAAGACAGGAGCTTACGGTGCCATATAGGACTGACTTTCATGGTGGATCTCAAGTCTGAAGTCCTGCAGTTGTGTTAGCATCCTGTGTGTGCAATGGTTTAATGATCAAATTCATGTGTTGGTACAAGGAAATCTATGTAAACCTACAAAACCAAGCACTGCAACAAATTTTGGGTCGTGATCGATCCAGTAAACCATAATAACCTCTGACAAATTATTCACAAATAATGAAATAAATACATACAAGTATGCATATATGTTTCTTTGTGCCAACCAAGCTGAAGTTCAGTGGCTAGCGATCACTGATCAGTAGTCCATGGAGCCAAAGTCCGGCTCCGGCGGCCTGGGCAGCATGATGAGGCTGTCGGCTCGGACGGAGCGCTGGCGCTGCACGCCGCGCATGGCGTTCTTGGCGAAGCGCGATACGAGGAGCGTGGTCTTGAACCGGCTGGTGGAGACCCCGGACGCGGCGGCCTCGTCGGCCTCCATCTCCTCCTCCCGGCGCCGCTGCTCGGCCGCCTTCCGCTTGAGGTACCTCCTCCATGCGGCCTGTATGAAGCAGGACGCCCAGGTGCGCCACTGCTGCGAGTAGAATCGGAACGTCTGCTGCAGCTGCTTGCTGTGCAGGCGACGGAACTGCCCCGCCACGAACTTGAGCTCGTCGGCGCGCAGCGCGAACGCCTCCACCTCGGAGATGGCTCTGACGGTGCGCGTGGACAGCGGGAAGTTGCCGCCGGCCTTGGGGTCGAGCGCCCACGTGAGCAGCTCCTCGCCGCAGAAGTCGCCCTCCTTGAGCAGGCCCCCGGTTGTAGGACCCCATCCGTCCTCCGTCGGTGGTGGAGCTCTCGAGCCGTCCGCGGATGATGAAGAGCATCTCGTCGACGGGGTCCCCCTCGCTCACGATGTAGGTGGACTCCGTGCAGAGGCTGGGCTTGAGGCGCTCGCAGATGGCGTCGAGGAGGCGCTCGTCCATGTTGGCGAAGAGCGGGACGCGGCGGACGAGGCGGAGGCAGAGGTGGCGCTTGACGTCGCGGCGGAGGTCCTTGGGCAGGCTGCGCACGAGGCTGTCCTCGTCGACGCCGCGCGTCTCGAGCCACTTGTACTGGTTGTGCCGCCACACCCGCTCCCGGAGCTCGTCGGGGAGGACGCGGTGGTGCATCCACTGCTCCGAGTCCCGGCGCTTGAGCCGCATCTCCTCCAGGCGCAGCGTCATGGACTGCAGGTACGTCTGCATGTTACCGATGAGGAGCGCCATGAGGATGAGGCCCAGCAGCGCGAGCGTGATGGAGAAGAGCTGCTCCCCCTTGTAGTGCGTCGTCTCCAGGCCCTGCCCGATGGTGCTGAGGTTCTGCAGCCCCCACCAGAGGCAGAAGAGGATCTTGGCCGTCAGGTTCTCAGTCAGCAGCCCTCACCCAGGAGACCCATGATGCCGTGACCAAGTCCAGAAGGTCGAAGAGGTACAGGACCACGAGTGTGAGGATTAATGGACCGGAGTGGGCCTGTCTCGAGTGCACACAGAAGAAGCCCACCAGTGAGTAAAGAGTTGCTTAAATATGGGAGTGGAGAATCTTGTAAGGAACTTTGATTAAACCAGAAACTTAATACATTACGTAACCGGCCCCTTCTTGCTCTTCAATCATTGCTCCTCTTCTTCGGTTCAGCAGCAATTGCGCGGAGCTGACATCTTGGTATCAAAGCCACCGTCCTGGCCGACCTTCCCCATCCCCACTACACCAGGCTACAGCAAGCTTGCGGCGCGATGGAGCCGAACGCCCGCAACATGTTTGATGAAGTGCTCAAGCGGCACGACGACATGGAGACGCGCTCGTCGGAGCGCTGGGAGAAGCGCTTCAGCGAATCCTCTGCCGCGCGACAGCAGCGCGACAACGCCGTCGATGAGCGGCTGACGTCGTTGGAGACGTTCTCCTCAGCCCAGTACAGCGCTGCCGTCGTCGCCGACAACTGGGGTCGCACTTCGAGGAGCGCCTCCAGGATCTCGAGCAGCGCGCGTCGGATCTCGAGCTCATCCGCATCCACGAGAGGAGCGCGACGACCGGGTTGAAGCGGTGGAGACGGAGGTGAAGGAGCTCGTGTCCTGGCGTCCCAAGGTCGACGGATCGATCGACTTCCTGTGTACAGAGATGAAGCGGCTGTCCAAGCACCGGGACCACGTCGTCATCAATTCGTCGTTCACTTAGCTCGGCATCATGACTTCGCCGGAGTTGGTCGCCGCGCGCTCATCTGCCGGTACCGCGACCGACTGGCCCCATGGGCACCGCGTTGAATCGACTACACGGGGGGTGCTATGGATCGGTGACAACCATAGTACCAACCCCAGCCAATGGTACGTATCCGCCTCCCCCTCCCAGTTCATCAGTTCCTTTGCCGCTCACATACCATCCAATTCCATCCAATCCTCCCTATCCTCATCCATCCCAGTTCATCCACCCCCAACCCGCTGTTCACCAGATTCAGCCCACCCACCTTCCTCCACCCTTTCCCATCTCCTCCCCAACCATCCATCTTCAACCCATCAGCCAGTGATTCACCACCACCACACCAACTAGTCCACATAATTCGACCCGACCAATCCTAATTTCAACCATTCCCTGGGCCATCTTCCCAAAATGCAGTTTCTCCAATTCAATGGTGATAACCCAAAGCTATGGTTGTCTAGGGCCAAATCCTATTTCGAGATGTACTTAGTTCATCCTTCAGTTTGGGTCCACGTTGCTACCCACCATATGACCCATGCTGCTGCGCGCTGGTTGCAGTCCGTTGAATCCAGCCTCACCAACATCTCTTGGGAATCCTTTTCTTCCCTGATCCACGCACGTTTTAGCCGTGATCAGCATGAGCTTCTCCTCCGTCAAATGTTCCACATCAGGCAGTCCACCACTGTATCTGATTATGTGCACAGATTCACTGGCCTTGTTGAGCAATTGTCTGCCTATACCCCTAATCCTGATCCTTTAGCACATACCACCCGATTCATTGACGGCTTACGTGATGACATTCGTCGAGTTGTTTTGGTTGCTCGTCCTTCGAATCTCGATGCTGCTTGCACTCTCGCCTTATTGCAGGAGGAGGCGTCCGAGCAAGGCATTCGCCGGGAGTACCGTACATCGGAGAATTCCCTCTTTCCCAAGACGGCGACTATCAAGGGTGCTCTTCCGCTCCCTCCTCCACCGCCGCGGCCAAACCATCCTCCTCCGGCCGCGCACCCTGCTGAAGCCACCAAGCCGGCTACCTATGTGCCGCCCCTGGATGATAGGTTCGCCACTCTGCGATCCTACCGCAAGGCTCGTGGCTTATGTGTTCACTGTGCTGAGAAATGGGCTCCAAGACACAAGTGTTCGCCAGTGCCTCAGTTGCATGCTCTCCAAGAGATATGGGATGTTTGTTAGGCCAAATTCTTGGATACTGACACTGCTAAAAGTTCTACAATGACTAAGCAACCTCAGATATATTTGATGCTGTTTTCTGTAGTTGTCTCTGGCACTCAGGCACCTCGCACTCTCTAGTTGCTGGACACCATCTCTGATCAGTCAATCTCTAATTTGGTGGACTTCTGTAGCAGCCACTCATTTCTTAGCTCTGACATTGCAGCCAAGCTATCAGGTGTTCAACCCTTGCTGCCCCCGGTGTCTGTTCGAGTAGCTGATGGCGGAATTGTGGATTGTACGGCCAAGCTCCCTGATGCTGAATGGGTGGTACAGGGGCATTGTTTCCATTCCACATTGCACATTCTTCCCCTGGGCAGCTATGATATGATCGTCGGGATGGACTGGCTCGAGGCCTTTTCCCCAATGAAAGTTGATTGGAAGAGCAGATGGATGTCCATCCCTTACGGCCGCCACCATGTTGTCCTTTAGGGAGAGTTATCGGATGACAGCCAGCCTGCTCTATGTCAATTGTTGCATATATCATCTGATTCATCTTCAGCTGAGCAGCCAGTGCACCCACCAGAAATTCAGCAGCTACTACATGAGTTTAGCTCTCTGTTTGAGGTTCCTTCTGGGTTGCCCCCTCATCACGCATGCGACCATACTATTCCCTTGATTCCAGGGGCTCCTCCGGTGGCCGTTTGTCAGTACCGCTACAAACCGGCTCTGAAAAACGAGATTAAGCAGCAAGTTTCTGAGACGCTTGAGTCCGGTCTTGTACGCCCAAGCACCATCGCCTATTCATCGCCAGTACTCTTAGTTCGTAAGAAGGATGACTCTTGGCGCATGTGTGTGGACTATCACAGGTTGAATGCACTTACTGTCAAGGCAAAGTTTCCCATACCTGTCGTTGATGAGTTGCTTGACGAACTTTCTTCTGCCAGATGGTTTTCGTGCCTGGACCTTCGCTCGGGATTTAATCAGATCAGACTGGCCCTCGGCGAAGAACATAAGATAGTGTTCCAAACTCATTGGGGGATGTTCGAGTACACTATCATGTCCTTCGGTCTCACCGGAGTCCCTAATACGTTCCAAGGTGCCATGAACTGCACGCTGCATCCTCTCCTTCGGAAGTGCGCACTGGTATTCTTCAATGATATTTTGGTATACAGTGCAACTTTTGAGGACCACATCAACCATCTGTGACAGGTCTTTACTCTGCTGGCTGCTGATAGTTGGAAACTCAAGATGTCCAAGTGCCGGTTTGCACAACAGTCTATTTCCTATTTGGGGCATGTCATCAGTGCAGCCGGCGTCGCTACTGACCCAACTAAGATTGAATCAGTTATGATTGGCCCATTCCAGAGGATGTCAAGCAACTCCGCAGTTTCCTTGGCCTGGCCGGTTACTATCGTAAATTTGTGCGTAATCATGCTATTCTGGCACGACCTCTCACTAATTTATTGAAGAAAGGTTCATCCCATACAGCCTCTTTCGAAGCCATCAAATCTGCCTTGATCAACGCTCCTGTTCTGGCTTTGCCAAACTTCGGCAAACCCTTTCAGCTACAGACCGATGCAAGCGAATATGGGGTCAGGGTCGTCCTGCTTCAAGAAGGCCATCCTATTACATTCGTGAGTAAATCTCTGGGGCCTAAGACTCGGGGTCTGTCAACATACGAGAAAGAGTACCTTGTGATTCTTGTGGCAGTCGATCAGTGGCGCTCCCATTTATAGCACGCCGAGTTCACCATATTCACGGACCAGCGGAGCCTAATGCATATCACTGATCAGCGGCTCCATACCCCTTGGCAAATGAAGATGTACACCAAGTTGATTGGATTACAATATAAGATTGTCTACAAGCCAGGCACTTCAAATGCTGCTGCTGACGCCTTATCTAGGCACCCTTCGCCACCTGATCAGGTGAATGCCATCTCTTCAGTCTCACCTACTTGGCTATCTGAGGTGATTGCCGGTTACTCCTCTGATCCTGCCTCTGTCCGCTTGCTGGAAGAGCTCATAGTGGATCCTCAGTCACGCCCACCGTTTTCTCTAACCAGTGGTATCATCCGCTACCATTCCCGTGTTTGCGTTGGGATAACAAGCCCTTGCAGTTGCGCATCATCTCTGCTCTCCATGACTCTGCCTTGGGAGGTCATTCGGGGTTTCCGGTGACTCACAGTCGTGTCAGGAAGCTGCTTGCTTGGCGTGGGATTAAGTCTGCTGTCAGAGACTTCATTGCTGCTTGTGCTATTTGTTCTCAGGCCAAGCCGGACAGGGCAAAGTACCCTGGACTGTTATCTCCTCCGCTGGTACCGTCGGAAGCATGGCAGATCATATCCATGGATTTTATTGATGGCCTTCCAACATCTGGTTCAGCAAATTGCATTATGGTCATTGTGGACAAGTTTAGTAAGTTTGCTCACTTCGTCCCTCTTCAACACCCATACATGGCCCAGAAAGTTTCTCAGGCCTTCTTGGATCATATCTATCGGTTGCATGGCATGCCTACACATATTATGTCCGATCGAGATCCTGTTTTCACAAGCTTATTCTGGAAAGAGCTTTTTTGCCTTGCACAAGTCAAGCTTTGCCTCAGCTTCTCCTACCACCTTCAGTCCGATGGGCAAACTGAGAGGGTCAACCAGTGCTTAAAGACCTATTTGCGTTGTTACATTCATTCATGCCCCCGCCAATGGTCAAAATGGCTATCTCTAGTGGAGTTCTGGTATAATACAAGCAATCATTCTTCATTGGGCCGCTCCCCCTTCGAGGTACTCTATGGACGCTCTCCTTGTCATTTTGGCTTAACTGATGCTTCTATCTCCCCTGTTGCCGATATTGAGACCATGATGGCCGAGCGCTCTACCATGCTGCTGGACGTGCGCCAACATCTCCTCCACGCTCAACAGAGGATGAAATCCCATGCTGACAAGTGTCATTCTGAACGTGTCTTCAACGTTGGCTACTTCGTCTTCATCCGACTGCAGCCCTATGTCCAGTCGTCACTGGAGCCTCGCTCACATCACAAACTTTGCTTCAACTACTTCGGGCCGTTTGAGATCGTCGCCAAGATCGGCTCCATCGCCTACAAGCTGGCTCTTCCTCCAGGCTCCGCCGTGCACCTGGTCTTCCACGTATCCCTCCTCAAGCCGGCGTCCGCTCTGATCTAGCCTATGTCGACTGCTCTTCCTGATTCGGACTTCACCATGCAGGTCCCTAAGCAAGTACTGCAATGCCGCCTCCACAGCTGCGGCCCCAACTCAGTACAGTAGCTATTGATTAAGTGGTCTGGCCTCGACGCAAGTCTTGCCACTTGGGAAGACGCGGAGGCCATCCGTCAGCGCTTTCTAGGGGCACCGGCATGGGGACATGTCGGCTCCCAAGGAGGGGGAGGTGCCAGCAACCCTCACCCAGGAGACCACGATGCCGTGACCAAGTCGAGAAGGTCGAAGAGGTCCAAGACCAAGAGCGTGAGGATTAATGGACCGGAGTGAGCCTGTCTCGAGTGCACATAGAAGAAGCCCACCAGTGAGTAGAGAGTTGCTTAAATATGGGAGTGGAGAATCTTGTAAGGAACTTTGATTAAACCAGAAACTTAATACATTACGTAACCGGTCCTCCTTCAGTCTTCGTCTACCTCTCGCCCCTTCCTGCTCTTCGATCCTTGCTCATCTTCTTTGGCTCCGCAGCAATCGCGTGGAGCTGACATTCTCCGTGGAGTAGACCCCGGACTGGATGGTCGTGGTGTAGATGCCGTAGGGGAACCCGGTGTCGCTGTCGTCGAAAGGGGCGCACTCCTGCACCAGCACCTGCTGGATCATGGTGCGCCACTCGAGGAAGCCCGACTGGCCCTAGCTGTGCTGTGGCCGCAGTACATGTAGGTGCGGCACTGGTGGAAGTTGAGCTTGGTGCACTTGTCCCGCCAGCAGTCGTCCAGCCGCTCGATGGCTAGCAGGTACCAGAACACAAACACCATGTGGCTGGTCAGCGTGTAGAGCAGCAGGTAGAAGGCGGCGCCGCCGAAGGCTGTCTTTGCGAACACCCCCGTGGTGCGCTTCAGCTCCGAGGTGATTGGATAGAAGTGCACCAGGCGGGGCACGTACTACGACAGCACTGTGAAGAGCAACGCGTTCTTGGTGGACAGCAGGTCCGCGCCCTTGGGCTTGTTGAGGAAGTTCCAGATGGAGACTTGCGGTAGCGGCAGCACGGACATAATGTCGACGACAAAGAAGCGGCGCAGGTAGCGGCGCGCGATGGTGGACGAGTCGATCAGCAGCTTAGTCAGCCTCAAAGATATTAAGGTGGTGCTTAAAGAGCCATATGAGGTTTTAACAGATTAACCCAAAATAAGATATTTGAAGATACACCATTTTTAGAAAAAGATGGGAAGATCTGGAGGAGTATGGTATGTAGAGGTATGTAGAGACATAAGACTTGAAGAGAAGAGGGACTGCGTGCCCACTCCAGTGACTCAGGAGCAACAAGTTTCTTAATACCTGTTGATGTTGTATGACTAATACAACACATGTTGTTAGCTTTTCGAAGAAGATGAATAATGTTAATAAGGATCTTGTAATATAGGAGCCTGTAGAATCAATTGTCTCTTGGCAATAAAGAGCAACAATAGCCCGATATGAAAGTGCCAGTAGCTGAGGCCCCAGAAGGTCTCAAAGAATTTGTAAACCAGTTTTTCTGATGACTATGAAGTCTATATTAGTAAATAAATTCAAATGGAGGGTGATCCCACCTCATTTGAAGAAGCCATGAGAAGCGTTTACTTGTTTAAATGATAAGAAGCTATGGAGGTTGAAATGAATTCGATGAATACCAACGATGTTTGGGACTTAGAAGTAATTCCTAATGGAGCCAAAACAGTAGGCTGTTAATGGGTCTACAAGACAAAATGTGACTCCAAATAGAATGTAGAAAGATATAAAGCATGACTTGTAGCAATATGCTTTACACAGAGAGAATGAATAGATTACAGTGAGAGTTTTCTCTTCAGTCTTATGCAAGGATTCTTTTAGAATCATAATGGCGTTGTTGGCACATTACGATTTAGAGTTACATCAGATGGATGTAAAGACGACATTCCTCAATGGGGATTTATATAAAAATGATTACATGGCACAACCCAAAAGGGTTGTCGTGGAAGAAAAGAACATATGGGATGCCGCCTGTAGAAATCTATTTATGGGTTAAATGTAAGTCTCTAGACAATAATATTTGAAGTTGATGAAAACAATAAAAAAGTTTGGGTTTTAAAGAAAATGAGAAGGACAATAGCGTTTATGCGAGGATCAAGAGTGGAAAATTCATTTTCCACATCCTGTGAATAGATGACATTCTATTCATTAGTAGTGATGTTAATCTATCATTGGAGAAGAAGTTTTGTCCTCAAGTTTCAATGTGAATGATCTTGGTGAAGTGTCATTGGTTCTAAAAATCGAAATTCACCGAGATAGAAGAAAATGGGGGTATTAGGACTGTCGCAAAGGCATACTTAGAAAAGATTCTAGAGAAATAAAGTATGCATGCAAGTAAACCTATGCCTGCTCCTATAGTCAAGGGTAATAGATTTGGAAACTTTAAGTGTTGTATGAACCGATATGAGATCGATCAAATAAATATGGTTCCATATGCTTCAGCTGTTGGAAGCTTGATGTGTGTACAAATACAAGTAAGAACTTACCCTGACGTAGTTTATATATCCGGGATATTTTGGCAGAAGTCCAGTTCAGATATAGATCACTGAAATGGAGTTGAGAATGTCTTGCAATTTTACAAAGTATCATAGGCCTCATGCTGAGTAAGAAAGAATAAGTACTCTCAAATAGTTGATGGTACAAATGTTAAGTCTTGGCAAGATGTATAGTAAAATCCATAACAATTGCTAACACTCGTAGTTAGAGTATTATTGTGGAAAAACTCCAAAAAAACAGTTGTGGTGTCATCAGTGATGCATACCATAGTATAGCTTGACAGGAGGCTTAAGGAATAGGCAAAAGGAGGTTAAAGGAATTTGTACCCGGATTTAACAATGGTAGACAACAGCAATAACCATTTAAAGTAAGTTAAATCCTAAGACAATAGGTCAAGTGTGCTGCTAAACACATTGATACTAAGTTATATGTTGTAAAGGAGAAAATCCAGAATCATTTTGAAAGCATTGAGCACATAAGTACCGAGTAAGTACTTGCGGATCCGCTTAGCAAAGGCTAACCACCCAATACGTTCAGAGAACACACAGTCGACATGGGTTTATAGGAAAGCCTATGATTTATGGATACTAAGGGCCTAATTGAGTATCTGTTTTAAAACAGAGAGGTGTATTGTAGCTGTTAAATCTAATGGCAACTGACCGTGACAATAAAGCACTCTCTATGCACTTATCTATGATGGAATGTGAAAAAGATAAAGAAAGTTGAGTTTAAGTATGAGGTGAGATCAAGGGGGAGATTGTTAGTGTTGATCTCATCCGACTTGGCCCAACGGTCGAGTCGGGCCTTAATCCAGTGCCCTGATCGGGGGCATCCAACTAAACCAAGGTTGGTGGGTCCCCTGTCGCACAGCACAATATAGAGGGAGGTGGGGGCCAGGGCGCAGACACGAGGTTCATGATAGCCACCATGATCCCCACATACTGCCCTAATCCTACCGATCAAGGGAGTGCTGAAGTGGCGGGAAGTGCCACCACGCCAGACTCCACTGCATATACTACCCCGACGCCGCTGCCACCGGATCCACCACTGCCGGATGACGCCACCGACTGGACCTTGACATGGACGGCTCATCCTCCTCCAAAGCCGACGGTCAGCCACTCCTATATCTCCCTCCCTCACTGTCTTCCTCTCTGTATCATGTTATAGGTCGAATTTGAATCAAACAGTAATAGTTTTACCCTCTAATCTACACCTAGATGATCCTAAGATCCTATCACGTGGAACTTGGCTGACGCAGCCGATGGGTTGCCCGAGAAGTAGCTGTCCATGTGGAACCCGCCGCCGCTGCCGTGGCCCCCACTATTGCCGTGGCTATGCTCCATGGTGGCGCCGCCGCTGCCAAAAGTGGAGCTGGACGCCGACTTCGTCGGTGCGTCTGCCTCGACGAGCCTCACAAACTTCTCCCTACGCCCGTTGATGAACTGGGTCTGATAGCCGCACCCAAACATCGTCTTCTTGCTCCCGGGCTACGGGACATTATCCACCACCATTCGGGACGGCGCCGTGGCGCGCAAGCATGGTGCCTTGGTGAGAACAACCGGCCGGCCGATTGATCGATCAATGTTGTCCTGTCCAGAGGCGATTCCTTGATCAACTGATTGATCGATAATGCAACAGGCAAGCAATTGCTCGATCTCTCTGATCCTCGTCTCTCTCGATCGATCTTGCAGAGCAGAGTCTTTTGTGGGTGCACGGCGTGAAAGGAGGTGAGGCCGTGAGCGAAAGTGACGGCGGTTAAAGAATAGGCCAGGCACCTAAAAATGGAATAAATGAATGGAGAGAGTACTACTGATTTGTCAGTGTATTTCTCCAGCGGGGGTTGTTTAGGGGTTCGGCGCATTGTATTCCAGAACTTCCCCAAATGCATGCGCATCAGAGGCTAAACTTATCGTTTGTAAGGTTAAGTCACAAATAAGTGAAACATTCTTGAAAACTATTTTTGCAAAATTTACAAAGGTTCAAAACCTGTCATGGGCCAAAACCTGGTCGAAATCCCATCCCAAATCTTGTTCTTCCTTCCTTTTTTTCTCCCATTATCAATTTGGCCCGCCTATCCTCACCTCCTAGGCCAACTTCACACCCACGCCCCTCCTCTCTCCTTCGTGGGCTCTAGCCCATCGTGTTCACAACTCAGCAGCCCACCTTCTCCCCTGGCTTCCTCTAAAAAAAACTTCTCCCCTGGCTAGATCGGAGCCAGCCCACGCTTGCTATAGAAGCAGCCCACATCGCCATCCTGCCTCCTTTCTTCCCCTCTCACAAGCCACTGACAAATGGGCCTCAACCATAATCACCTTAGCTGTTTCTCTCATCCCACCTTCCATCTTTGGCCAACACTGAATTTAGCATCTCTATGACCTTGGCCCGCCGCGAGCCTTCCTTGGAATTTGCACGTCCTCCCCCTTTCTCCTACCGCCTCTACACCTTCCATTGTTACCCCTTCTTACATTTATTACTTTCCTTTCTTCTCTTGAACATCACTTTCCTTAATTTTGGTGGCACCCTCCCAAAAAATGAGCTTGCAGTATAAGATTATAAAAGACATCAGACCCCTTCTCTCCTCGCATCCTCCTTCTTCGAGCCATCTCACTATAGTGTGTCGCCGCTCTCGTAGTCCCTCAAACCCATGACGCCGCCTGAGCTCTAAGCTTTCGAGGTCGAGCTTGCCCCCACCACTCTGATCTTCGTAAGAGCACTGTCTTCGCCCACTTGGAGGGGAGCACCTGCATTGTGAGTGTTGTAGAAAACTCCCCATCGCTTCTCGTTATGTACCGTTGCCTAGGATCCAGTCCTTGACCTCACCGAGCCTTATCGCCCTCACCTTGTTTGTTGTCTAGGTTCGCCACCTTCTGAACCATCCTTTGCGGATAATGGAAATCTGAAGAGAAGATTAATAATTGTCTTCGTTGTGTTGTAATCTATATTGTTGTTCAACGTTATGTAATAAAGCATGGTTTCTAATATTTTTCAATTTTGTCCCTATATATGTCTTGTGGACATCCTAGGCACATATATAGTTGGCATTTGGTTTTCTTCTAAAAACCGGGTGCAACACTTCTCCACCAATGAAGTCTCTCATCATCCATGAACAAGTTGTCACCACATCTCCAAACCAAGCCAGTGGGTCATCTATGTTGTTGCTGAGCCACATAGGGTCCGAACATCATGTCAGCTCAAGGTTACATCAAGCATTCAATTCTTGCTCTCTCTCAAAGCCTAAACAAGCTCTAATATCACTCTAAGAACTAATCTAACCAAAGATGTGATCAATAGTGGGATGGAACTCTCTCAAGTGCAGCAGCATTCATTTCTTTAATGAACTCCAGTAACCCCAAAACACTTAAGTTAGCAATTTACACTTGTGTGAAGTGCTAGCTTAGAATTTCAAACTAATTCTTATCTTTATGTGGTTGGCATTCCAAAGGCAAAGGTATATGTTAGGAGTTTTCATTTTGCCAGTCAAGACGCAATAGAGTGCGTGGTTGATTAGAACAAGGAGCCGACTAGAGGGGGGTTAAATAGTCATTTCTAAATTCTAATCTCTATGGTTTTCTAGCTGAAAATAAACACAAAATTAAAACTTATTGTCTAGTCTGGACTACGCTCCTCTATATATGTTCACTAGCACCTTACAAATGGTCATAAACAAGTTATGTCTAAGGTGCCGAGCTAGTGGGAGCTCACCTAACAATTCTAGTTAGCAAGGTACTATAAACCTATGCAACTAGTCAACTAAGCAAACCAGGAGCTCTTACACATACTGGTGAGCAAAGCACAAAGCACAAGCTACACTGGCACTACTCACTAGAAAGCTACACAAGCACAACTAGAGCATCACCGAATTGATCTAGTGGCTAAGGAACCGAACTAGGGTTGTTGTTGGTCGACCTCATGGTCTGACCGACCCTAGGGGTAGTTGGACTGGCCCACCGGATTGATCCGGTGTGGCGTTGTGGAAAAGCTTTGGATCTAGCGTGGAGCAGTTTGGGCCGTGTGGCCTCTCTAGTGGCCTTGGTGGTCTAACCACTTGTGGGCGCGGTTGGACCGGCCAGGGAGATGGGCCGCATAGGAGAAGGTCGAGTGTTCAGAAGGGCCAAGTGCTTAGCCTGGTCTGGGCCACTAAGCTAATCTGGTGGTGGCCCAGACCTTACTGGATCGAACTAGGGATTTTGCCCCACCGTTGGACCGGTGGGGGCGCCGGTTGGATCGCCAGTGGAAAGGCTAACGTGTGGAGAGAGCACCACCGGACCAATCTCTATTATGCCTGTGTAGTGTAACTAGTGATTAGTACTAGTATGTGTAGGAGCTCCTGGTGTTGCTTAGTTGACTTGTTGCATAGGTTTGTGTGACCTTGCTAACATGGTTTGTGTGACCTTGCTAACATGAATTCATACTGTGACCAGCAATTGTCAGTCGATAGGAATATATTGAGATGTCACATTCAATCCAGCTAGACATGTTTGTCAGCGGAGCGAGTATATAAGACTAACAACCGCGGTTGATGGAACTAACCTGCATTAAGAAAGGCCCTATTTGGCACAGCTTAGCTTCACTGGTGAAGCTGTTTTTTTGTTTTTAGCTCAATGATCAACTCTACCGGTGAAGCAGAGCTGTTCTCTTGATCCTTTTTAGCAAAACAACTTCTATGGAGAGGAAAAAGAATAAATGACCATAATACACTTAGCCTTTCCCTTTTCTTTCTCTATTTGCCATCTTCCCATGGTCGCGACAAAAAGAAAAGCCCGACGGCCGACACCCGAGGCCCCGAGCGGCCGCAACCCTGTCCCGACGGCCGCGCCCTCGTCCCGGCGGCCGCGCCCCCATCCGGGTTTCCACGTCCCTAGGGCCGAGCCCCATGTCACAGTTCCGACGGGCGACGATGGAGTCCCCCGCGCGCAGGTAGCCGACAGCCGCGTTGTGGCGCTGGTGGCCACGCTTGCTCGTGCCCGGCAGCCGCATGTGGCCCCGGCAGCCACGCCGCTCGTGCCCAACGGCCGCGCGTGGCCCCGGCAGCCACACCTAGGCCACGCCCGTTGGCCGAGTGTGGCCCGGCGGCCGTGCCCGCTCGTGCCCGGTGGCCACGCGTGGAGCTCCACGCGAACGAGACCCGACACATGGAGCTCCTATGGGACAACATCCCCATGGTTTCCCGGGCTGTCCTGGTGGCCGCAGTGTGCGCGCGCTGCGTCCTGGTGGCTGCACCTCGGCCTCCCTCGCCTCTCGTAATTGCTCCCTATGCTCACCTTCCTTGCCGTGGCCCGCTCGACAGCCGTTTCTTCAGTGCCGAGCCCGCTCGACGGTCGTGCTCGTGCGTGCCTCCGCCCGCGCCCCACTGGCTGTGCTCGCGCATGCCCTGAGCCCCCGGCGAGCTACGCCCCGGCAGGCCACGCACTCCCTCCCCGAGCGTGTGCGCTCTCTTGTGTGCATGGGCAAAACTAGTCTTTTGTGTATGCTGGCCTCACATATGTTAAGTGAAGTTAAGATGATAAGCCACTTTTTTCAGCTTCGTCTCACTCTATCCCTTTGTGAGCATGAAGTTGTTGGTGAAGCTGTGTCAATCAGGACCTAAGATGATTATTAAACACTATTGTGATAAGATAATAGATGATCGGAACTTTGTAAGATGAGAAGGACAAACAGACCGGGGTTGGGTGGCGCTCGTCCTTGTTGAGGAAAGAGTCACGAAAGACGACCGAGTCTAGCGATCACCGTATTGGAGCTTTGGACATTATTAAAGGCCCATTTGCCTACATAACACGGTTGGCCATTTTATTTGGGCAAGTAAGCTATCTTGCAGCTGTTTAACTTCCTCGTAATTTCCGGCGCGCCTTTGTCTCCGATCCATGGTAGATTAGCTCATTAACTCAAGAAGACTTGCTTTCCCGGCCAATACTTGAGTCGCTCATTTCGAGGAAGGTTTCTGGAGGAGAATACAAGGAGAATCCAACAAGCCAGGTCGATCAGTGCTCTGACTGTGTTAATCGATCGGATCATTAGTTTTTCCGTGAACCATCAATTCTTTTAACTATACCTCGTAGTTTGTAATTAAACTTGATCTGCAGATTCTACTCTGTCACCCTTTGCGTACTGCGTACCTAGGATGGCCGATGCAGTGGGCATCATTACCAAGATTATCGAAGCTGCTCTCAAGATCAAGAGAGCAGCAGACACGGTGAAGCAGAATGAGGATACATGCAAGCAGATAATAAGCCGCGCTGAGATACTCTGCGACACGTTGTCGCAGCACCAGGATAACAGGGAGCTGATGAACAACTCGGCAATAAGAAAGGCACTTGAGGCCCTGGACGAAACCCTTGGTGAGGCCTTGCAGCTGGTCATTGATTGCCAGGAGGAGACCAACGTCGTGTGCCTTTACTTCAAATCCGGGGACCTGTCCGAGCGGTTAAAAAAAGGTGGAGCAGCATATATCCAGGAAGAGCACGGACGCAATGTTGACCATCATGGGCTTCCTTTTAAGTAAACAATTTAATCAACACGGTGCTCATCCTCAGCCCCAGCAGCTATGAATCATTTAGAATGCTCATAAAGAGGAAAGACAATATTTTAATACTCCATTCGTATTGTAAGTCGTTTAGGTTCTTTTAAATATTGTAGATTTTACTATACATCTAAACATAATATATATATCTAGGGTAGTCTTTTTTTTTAAATTACACGGTACAATGTTGACGCTTACAACACGTATGTACACTTATCCATATAAACACACGTACACAAACCCTATCTCTATGAGCACCTCCAAATGACTAAGCCGACAGATCTCAACACGTACGCGCACTCACCCCTATGAACACACGTACACAAACCCTACTCCTATGAACACCTCCGAAGGACTGAGCCGATAGCGCCGTTAATTTATAGAATAAATCCAGAAAAATACGAGCATTCGTGTCAAGTCGAGGACTTAAATCCGAGTGGATAGATTTCACCACGAGAACACAACCGACTAATGTACGATCAGTTTGCAGCGAGGGCAACCTTTTTGAGGAAGAAGTAGACGGTTTAGTGTTTTTTACAGCTTATAAGTTTCAATCTCTCCAAGCTAGCTATTTCTACTTTTCTTCCTCACGGGCCCACAGGCAGGCATTACATAGACCCAATCCGGGCCGGACAAACTCTGGTTCGCGATCCGGTGGCGGAAATTCTCATGGGCTTGTTGAAAGACTGGGCCGCCATGTATGGAGTGATGACAGACGCATAGAGCCAAACCGACTTTTAATTTGAAAAAAATGGAGGAAGCCAAACAACTGCGCTGTGTGGAGTCATGCATGTAGTGCTGGTTGGTTCACTTATCTTCTGAATGGCTAGGTGTGGTTGCAGCAGCCAGCTCCAACCCGATTTTGGCTACACACATTGGTTAATTGACAAACAGTTATACTCACTCGGTTCTAAATGAATAATATGTAGTCGCAAAAAAAAAAGAATAATATGTAGGCCATTAAGTTTTGTCGTCTCAATTCAAACTTTTCTAGTTTTGATCAAATTTATAGAAACAAACACCAAAATGCATTTTATAATGTTCTTATTTGATATTGTATGCAGTACTATACTTTTTTATAAAAATAGTAGGGAGTTTGACTTAGGACAAAACTAAAACGCGTCTTCTTAATTTTGATATTACCCAGACACACCATCAGTTCTTCTCTGTTATTTTTCACATTGTCACAGTAGCAGCATCCTTTGGACATCAGTCCTATATACTTTTCCTAAATTAAAACACTGACTACTAGAAATATACAATTTTCTCATATCTAATTTGTTTTCACGTCGACCCACCATACTTGAGGTGTCCCTTCAGAATCATCAGGTTTATCCTACCAGCACACAAGCGCCTTTGCAATCTCAAACAATGCAGCCACCAAATTTACTCAAACAGGTAACATCATATACTTTCCTAAGCACTATATCCTTTTGGGGAAAAAGTTTTTTATGACATTATAGGTATGACTGATATGTATAAATTAAATATAATTAAACAATGGTACTGGCTCCGTTCGGCTTGCTGAATCTTGGCTGAAATTGGCTGAAAACACTGTTCTGGTTAAAATGTTGTGAGAGAAAACACTGTTCCGGCTGAAAAAAGAAGCCAAACAAGCCGGATATGGGGTAAGCCGAACGGGGCCATACGATGTACTACCTATACATGATTAGTAGTAATTGTACATTATGGTATGTACTGTTGCTTGAGTATATATGAATGATGTTATGATGCTTGTGCCAGATGTCCAGACAACATAATCAAGATGGAGGCGATGTGAATGTTCAGACTAACGACGAGCCATATGTATGTTTTAGTTTCCCACTTGTTTCGCCAGAAAAATCACTAAGGGGATATCTCCGTGTTTCGCGGATCGTACTACTTAGTACTAATAAGCAAAGGTATTCGGTCTCGTCGTGTGGATCCCATAGTGAAGTCAAGTGTTTGGCCTCGTTGGTCGCGAACAAATAATTTCGGCCTCGTCGGTCGCGGAAAGGAAACGTCCTAGCCTCGTCGGTCAGGGGAAGAAAATGACTTCATATGGTTCACCGGCCTTGACGGTGCGAAAAAGTGATGTGGTAATGGTGAGACTTGTGCTCATGTAGTACTCAGGAGATTTCTCCTTGCATGAATTTATGAGATCATTGGCGTGACACTCAGCCGCCTACCAATTCAATATATGCGCTTGAACTCAAGCGCTTTGTCATGACTTAGAATTATTTACGGGTGTTGTACCCAAAATGGGTTTCAGGCCTTCTTGAGCCCGTGACGTGAATGGGCCGAGAGGTCAATATTGGGCCATCAACGAGCTGAACATATGTGTACATTGCACGTACAGCCTTGCATGGTACTATAGCCCCTTTTATTTGCTTTCTTGCCGTATATTGTACATGTACATGTATACACTTGTACACTGGTTGTGTTCCTGGGCCAACGAGGCCTAAGGCGAAGAGGTGTTGCCGGGTCGCGCTGCTCCGCCGCCGCGGTGACCATGCCTGCCGTTCCGGCCATCGCCGGACTCACTGTTTGTCAAGCCGTATTTGCCACGGCCGTGGATCACCATGCCGGGGATTTGCATGTTCGCCGCTGCTGTAGATGCCGAAACTGCACGTTCGCCATGCTGCCGTTTCTGCCAGGCCGCCGCGCGGTCGTCGTGGAGACGCCGTGTTGCCGAGCCGCCGCACGTATTTTGAATGCTTCAATACCTTATATTTTAGGACTGATGAGTAATACTCTGATATTATTAATATAAAGTTTCCTTTCTGTATCTTCTTAATGAATTAATTTGTTTGCAGACTAATAAGGAACCCACCTTTATCTGCAGTCGATGTTGTCAGCGAATGGGATTCCTCGATGGTATAGATAGCTATCTGTCACAAAATCGTAATTTTGATGGTACACGTGACATGCATTTGGTATATAGATGTATTGGATGATAGCATGCATGATTCATTTCTTGTCAGGTTGCTCTATGCTCGTGCTGTGCAAATGGCGAAAAAGAGCAAGGTACATACTTCCCTACATGGTCATTCAGTTCTACATGTAAACTAGCACTACTGACCAGAAACCCTCGGCAAAGGCTTTGCCGAGGGCTGCCCTTGGCAAAGACCCATCGGGGAATTTTTAGCCGACAAATAGGTCTTTGCCGAGGGCCAGGACGGCCCTCGCCAAAGAAAAGAAGCCGTAATGCGCCGGCGCCGTTGGCAGTTTCTTTGCCGAGGGCCGACCCTCGGCAAAGAAATTATTTTTTTTTGAATTTTTTTTGCCGAGGGCCTCCTCCCTGGCCCTCGGCAAAGAAATTTTCAGGATTTTTCCCAAAAAAATCTTTGCCGAGGGCTATTGCAAGAGCCCTCGGCAAAGGGTTTTTTTTTAAAAAAAATTTGTTTACTGAGGGCCGGCCCTTGGCAAAGAAATAGTTTTTTTTGAATTTTTTTTAAAACCTTTGCCGAGGGCCTGCTCCCTGGCCCTCGGCAAAGAAATTTTTAGGATTTTTCCAAAAAAAATCTTTGCCGAGGGCTATTGCTAGGGCCCTCGGCAAAGGACCCTTCTTTATCGAGGGCCTTGGTCATTGCCCTCGGCAAAGAGACAGAAATTTAAATTTTTTGTTTTGTTTTTTGCATTCCATCGATACAAACATTTCATATATATACATATATATATATATATCACACAGAACCCATTTTCTCACAATATATCACAACCATAATTGTGAACCACAAATCACAATATATTACAACGACAAGTCACATGTTCATCATCATTCATATGTTTATTACGACAAGTTAATAAAATCCAAGCACAAGTCACAACCATAAATCACAAATCACGCTAAAGTCCAACCACATCACCTAGCACGAGTCCTCATCAAGCTAGCCTATGAGACGATGGTGAAGAAAAAGCAGGATCACCCGGTGACGCACTAGCGGGTTGATTGGAACCCGCGGACGGAAGCTGCACAAAGGAGTAGAGATTGCATGTGTGAGTAATCCGGGAAAACAATTTTGAAACTTAGAGATTGCATCTAGTAATCTAGGAATACAAAAAGATTAGACTCAATTGAAAATTTCGGCAGCACCTCCCGTGCACGGGGAGGTTTCCAAAACCCATAAGAAACGACGGCACGAACGCCGACATCCACAACGGCATGAACGCCGACATCCACAACGGCACAAAGGCCGACATACATGCAAAGCACAAGCGAAAAGTGAACTTTCATACTTACAGGAGTAGCTGCAGGAGTAGGAGGTGGAGGAGCTGAAAACTACACAGGTACACCCGATGCTTGCCCAAGACTTTGCATGATCACCATCATCTCCGCCATCTGCTTCTACACGGCCTCGAACGCGACCTTCTGGGCCTACAGCTGTGCGGTCAGCTCTGCGTTCTGCTCTTGACTTTGCCTTCTTGTTTCTTGCAGCTCGGCCTGCAATATTTCACTCCAATGTATCAGTAATGCAAATCTAATTTAGGTGTATAAATATCTACGTACGACGAGTAAAACAGGAATTACCTGGAGTGCTTGGACCTGCTGCAGTGCTGGAGAAGGCCGTGGACGTATGGGCTGGCTAGAGCTCGTGCTCCGTGCTCGGATAGCGTCGAGGGAGGGAACAATGGTGGAGTTGATGGCGCCGTTTGCAATCCATAGCCGCCCGTGCTTCTTGCCTCCTCCGAGCCTCATGATCGCCTTTGCATCAATGGGCTCAGTGCGCATATTGTAATCTTCCCCATAGATCTACCTTACCGTTGATGTGTACTCTTGGACTTTAGTGTACACGTTCGGGTCGGAGTACGCCTTGGGCGGGGTAGCCGGGTCGAAGGAGACAGAGGACGACGCCCTGCCCATGTGGGACATAGCCCACGCAGAGAATTCCGAGACCTCCTCGCCCGGGTGCGCAGCCTCCTGCGAGAAAGACGGGAAGATGGTGAGAAATCAAGCAGAATTGAGCGTCAAAATAAATGAAAGAAATCACTTACGTATGCTT